GTGATGAATTACATTTATTGATTTCTGTATGTTGAACCAAGCTTGCATCCCTGGGTTGAATCTCACTTGATCATGGTGCATGATCTTTTTGATATGTTTTTCTATTTGATTTGCCAGAATTTTATTGAGAATTTTTGCATCTATGTTCATTAGAGATATTGGTCTGAAGTTTTGTTTTTTTTATGAGTCTTTGCCTGGTTTTGAAATCAGGGTGATATTGGCCTCATAGAATGAGTTTGGAAGTGCTGCCTCTTTTTCTCTTTCCTGAAATGAATTGGAGAGTGTTGGTATTAGTTCTTCTTTAAAAGTCTTGTAGAACTTGGCTGTGTATCTGTCTGGTCCTGGGCTTTACTTGCTTGGTAGACTTTTGATGGTGTCTGTTATTTTGTCACTTGAAATTGATCTGTTTTAATTGTGTATATCATCCTGATTCAATTTGGGCAAATTATATGACTCTAGAAATTTGTTGATGCTTTGATATCTTTTATTTTATTGGAGTACAGGTTTCAAAATAATTCCTAATTATCTTCTGTATTTCTTTAGGGTCTGTTGTGATATTTCATTTTCTGTCATGTATGTTAGTGATTTGAGTTTTCTCTCTACTACTCTTCATTAGGGTCTGTCAATTTTTTCAATTTTTCTTTTGTTTCAATTTCATTGGTTTCAGCTGTGATTTTAATTATTTCTTGTCTTCTGCTGTTTTGGGTATTGATTTTTTTCTTTTTCCAGGGCTTTGAGATGTAGTGCTAAGTCATTTATTTGTTGACCTTTTCTTCTTTTAAGGAATGAACTCCATGCAATGACTTTCTTCTTAGAACTGCTTTCTTAGTGTCCCAGAGATTTCGATATGTTGTATCTGTGTTCTCATTCACCTCTAAAATGTTTTAATCTCCTCCTTGATGTCTTCTTTAATCCATTGTTCATTCAGTAGCATATTATTTAGTCTCCAGGTGTTGGAGTGGATTTTATTTTTTATTTTATCATTGATTTTTAATTTAATTCTATTATGATCTTACAGAATGTAGGGTAGTATCTTTACTTTTTTATGCTTGCTAAGAGTTGCTTTGTGGCATAGTATATGGTCTATTTTAGAGAAGGATCCATGTGCTACTGAGAAGAAAGTATATTCTCTTGTTGAAGGATGGAATATTCTATATATGTCAGTTAAGTCTAAGTTATTGATTGTATTAATTAGTTCTATAATTTCTTTGTTCAGCTTTTGTTTGGAAGATCTGTCTAGTGATGAAAGAGGTGTGTTAAAGTCACCCAAATTATTGTGTTGTGGTCTATTTGACTCTTAAACTTGAGAAGAGTTTGATGAACATAGTTGCTCCGTTGTTTGGACATATATATTTATAATTGTTAAGCTTTGTTGGTGTATGGTTACCTTGAGCAGTATGTAGTGTCCTTTGTCCTTTTTTATTGGATTTAGCTTGAAATCTACTTTATTTGATGTGAGGATGGAAACCTCTGCTTGCTTCTGCAGTTTATGCGAGTGGTATGATTTTCCAAACCCTTCACCTTCAGTTTGTGGATATCTTTTTCTAGGAGATGAGTCTCTTGGAGGCAGCATATTGTTGGGTCTATTTTTTTTGATCCAATCTGCTAGTCTATGTCTGTTGATTGGTAAGTTTAGGCCATTAACATTCAGGGTTATTATTGTGACATGATTTGTATTCTCAGCCACTTTTGTTTATTTTTGGTATTTAACATGACTTGGTTTCTCCTCTGATTTTCATCATTGTTTTTCATTTCCTCTTCTTGGAATATTTTGCTGAGGATGTTCTGTAGTGCAGGCTTTCTAGTTGTAAATTCCTTTAACTTTTGTTTATCGTGGAAGATTTTTATTTCATCATCAAATATAAAACTTAGTTTTGCTGGATATAAGATTCTTGGTTGGCATTCATTTTCTTTCAGAGCTTGGTATATGTTGTTTCACGATCTCCTGGCTTTGAGGGTCTGAGTTGAAAAATCTGCTGAGATATGAATTAGTCTCCCCCAATATGTGATCTGATTTCTCTCTCTTGCAGCTTTTAAGATTCTATCCTTATTCTGTATGCTAGACAGTTTTATTACAATGTGTCTTGGTATAGATCTGTTATAATTTTGTACATTTGGTGTCCTGTAAGCCTCTTGTATTTGGTTTTCCAATTTGTTCTTTATGCTTGGGAAATTTTCTGATATTATCTCAGTGAAGAGATTGTGCATTCCTTTGGTTTGAAACTCTGTGCCTTCCTCTATCCCACTAACTCTTAGATTTGGTCTCTTGATGCTGTCCCTTAA